GATTGGGCTCCCAAAGTCCACACCTATGCTAGGGATAAGTACTTAACTAATTCAGGAGGTCCTATAGATTTCCAAGGTCTCCTTACTGAATCCCACGTTCCTGGAGTCTGGATCAGTCCTATGCTGGTTTCCCAGCTAACCATCTGGGGACCAAAATTAAACCAGAGCTCCCGGATGTTCAGGTCAGCTGTTTGTGTCTCCAAATTGAATTCTGGTATTCATGGGTCTTCTCTGAATTTTGTTTTCTTGAAAATCACATATCCTTAAACCATGCCCAGCTCCACCAGTATCTTCATCTTCACTGACTGGTTAGCTTACTCTGAGTGTTCTCACTGAGGATGGAATGAATGTCGCACAGAGTCAATAGCATACAGTGGGGATTTGGTAAATGATTTTTGCAAAGGGAGGTCACCTTAAATTATGGTGTCAATTGCATTGCTATGTTCATCCTGGAGTGTTTATTTGCTCACTCTTCCTGAGACAAGGCCTTGCCGTGAATACTGTTGGACTTAAACTCAGTGTGTAACTCAGGTTGGCTTCACACACAACAGCCCTGCTGTCTCCTGCTCCTGAATGTTGGGATTAAAGGCATGTGTTACTGTACCTGGACCCACCTTTGGAAAACAGAGGTATCTGTGCAACACTTACTTCAGGTGTCCCACTATCCTCTCTACAACCCTACTGCACTCACCTTCTTTAACATATAAACTTTTCCTTACAAAAGAGAACAGCAAGTTCATCCAAATACTATGTCAAATGTGATGCTACTCGTTTGTTTCTCATGGCTGGTTCAGCCTGCTTTCTTATATAACCCAGGACCAGCAGCCCAGGGATGGCCCCATTCCCTGTGGTATGCACCACCAATATTAATCATTAAAGAAGAAACTGCTCCACAGTCTTGCCAACAGGCCAATCTGGTGGGAGCAGTCTCTCAGTTACCTTTGCTGCCAGGTAGTTCTAGCCTGTATCAATTTGATATTAAAAACTGACCAGCACAACACTGTTCCTCACCCTGGATGTCTGACCAACTTTGTGTGTTTAGCCTCCTGAGTGCTGGGATTAAAGGCATGCACCACCAATGCCTGGCAAGTCAGAGTTATTTCATTTATATTGTGTTTTCAAATAGAGAAACAAGGCTGGGAAGATGACTGTGTTGGTAAAGTTGTTTTGTTAGCCAGATGGTGGTGGCACACACCTTTAATCACAATACTCCGGAGGCAGAAGAACGCAGTTCTCTGTGTGTTCCAGGCCTGCCTGGTCTACAGACTTAGTTCCAGGAGAGTCAGTTCTACAAAGAGAGATCTTGTCTCTAAAACTATATAAATTTATTTGTTTTAAAATAATAATTTTAAAATATTATTATCCAAATTTAAGCAAACACAATGATCTGAATTCTGTCCCCCAAACCCAGGAAAAAGCCAAGAGTAGTGGCACAGACTCATCCTCCCAGAGCCCAGGTGGTGGAAACAAGAGGACCCTTTGGGTTCCCTGACTCACTAGGGAGGGTAAATCAGCAAGATCCAGCTTCAGTGAAAGAGCTTGTCTCAAAAGCTAAGATGGAGAGTTATTGAGGCAGACACAGGGGCAGGGTTGGGAGAGAGAAGGGAGGGGGATTCTCTGCAGATTGAGCCATTGCAATGCTTCCATTTAGAGTTCATGTTACCTGGGAGAATGGGGGAGCATATACATCCTAGGAAACGTTTTCCTGAGAGCATAGCTTATCAGTGTTATGGTGATTCAGAAACTGCTAATTCCTCTGTATAGGTACCATGGGCTGGGAATTTACTGTGGTAGAGCAAGGGAGTATCTGGGGTTTGCAACCATCTCCGGATTGGTGCACTTCTGGGCTTGGGTAACCTGTCCTGTGCTGATTGGCCAATTGCACCTGCAAGAATGGTTGCTATGCTTAGAGGCCCTCCCACTGTAGCTGCTAGCTCTGTACTCCATTGTACCATAAAGCACATCCAGAGCCTGCCAGCTAACTTCTGATTGGTTCCTGCCACATGGA